CAGCCGCGCCGGGGGCTGCGGGGAGGGGGGGGGGGGGGAGGGACGGGACGGGACGGGACGGGGCCACACGGACCCTCCCCCGCCGGGCTCCTTTCCCATCTCTCCCAGTGCTCCCACCCAGTCCAGCCCCGGTGCATCCAGACTCCAGTAAGGGACCCTCCTACTTTTGTCTTGCAGACCTCTTCCAGGATCTGAGCCAGCTGCAGGAGACTTGGCTGACCGAAGGTAAGCTTCCCAGCCTTGCCTGTGCTGCTCTTCTTTTCCCCTTGGTTGTCCCTGACATTTGTCCCGTTCTTCCCTCACTTTGTTTGCCCAGTTCTAAACCTTAAATATTTTTTTTTTCCAGCCTTGCCAACCTTTGGGCTTGTGTAAATCGGGGATTATGAATCATACTATTGTGCTGGCTATTTGCTTATAAATGGTGCTTGGCTCTTGGCCATTTTCTCTGTTAAAATTTTCACTTGCAGCATCTACTGGCAACAGCTGGGATTGGGGTTAATTTCTCACTTGGATTTGTTAGTTGCCAAAACACTGGTGATGTCTTAAATAAACACTGAACCACTACCTTTAATTTGGGGGGGGGGGGGAACTCCTCTTCCTAATTCAAAGAAAGTAGTTCTCTGACGATTTGTCCTGGAGCTTCTTGGCCTCTCTAAATGGTGTGTTCAGTGTGGATTTCTAAATTGTTTTGCCTTTTGACTGTAACATTGAAGGAAAATGATCAAATCCCAGTGAGCCCAATTAATTCAAACTTCAACTAATGGAGAGTGATCTATTGCACTGACTTTAACTGCAGTGCTACCAGTGGCCCATTCTCTGAAAGAGTTAAAATGTTGGTTTTAGAGTGTTTTACTTTAATAGAAGAAGAAAAACTCTTCCTCTTCCAAAGGTGCTCAACATGCTATTGATGTAAAACAAGTATTTAAGGGTCTGATAATCCAAACGGCTGTCTTCCCTCTAATTCTATGAGAAGAAGAAGAAATAATCCCGCTGAAGTGTGACATTTTAGCAGTAAATTGCAAATTTAGTCATATAAATGGGCTTTTATTATTAAAAATATATATATATTTTTTTCTATTTCAAACCCAAATTAAAAGTCTTTGATCAGGAGAGCCTTTGGGAACGTAGGCTTCTGTGGATGCAAAACAATGTCTGGAGGCCAGTCCAGGATTAGAATTCCTGTCCCTTTTCATGCTGCCAGGAAAACAAGGATGGATTTGCTTGAAGTCCCTTCATATTAATGGCTTTTGTGCACACTCAGAATGAATTAAGAATGAGATTCTTTAACTTTAAGTAAAAGAGGTGTTTGTAAGAAGACTTAGTAAGTAGAGACCACACTTGGAGTCTGGTGGATTTTATGTTAGGCCTTCTGATTGCCTGTAAATATTTTAAATTTCATGATAGTAAAGTCCAAAGAGCTTGCAGAGAATCTCTTATCAAATGTTCACATTAGTAATAGCCACCCTTCCCACTATGGTGTTCTATGTCTATCTCTCAGGCATGGACAGAGGTAAATAACCTGTCATTAACCCAGCCCTGAGGAAGGGTACCTTGTGCCCAAAAGCTTGTCTAGGATCCCTCCCAACTACACAGTTGGTCCAATAAGAGTTGTCACTGAAGAAAAGCCTACCTCCCATTAGACAATTACTGGAGGAGAAGAAATTATTTCCCCCCAGCTGTGGAGTTACTGGAAGGCAATCACACAGAACTGCCTAGTATAGTGCTAGAGTGCAAAGTAAAAAGTTTGGGATTTTCACCGGCTCTGCTATTGGTTTGTGGAGTGCCCTTGCACCTTGCTGAGCCCCAACTTCTCCGCTTGCCGGTTAATAAATATTAATACTTTGCTCTGCCCTAGTCCTTTTATTTAGGGATTTCAAAATGATTTACCAGCAGCAATAAAATGATCCTTATGACAGCTCTGAGGTATGTTTCACAACCCGTTTTAAATATGGGGACACTCAGGCATGGAACATCTCTGTGCCTTGCTCAAGATCTCACATCCAGTACTGAAATCTCTTTCTTTTGGCACCCAGTGTCATGCTATAACCACATAACTACATTCCCCTGCTCTGCACTTCCCTAGTTTAATAATAATAATAATACAGACCTAACTCACCCATGTAACTTAAGTTTTGCATAACTCTATGAGGTCTTTGGATAGAAATGCAGAGCTATTGGGTTGTATTTACTGAACGCTCAGCATTGGGGAAACCTGGATTTGAGGGGAACAGGAATAGGTGAAAAAAAACCATTTCTATTTCTCCAGTATTAAAAAAGAATCAATAATATACACCATATAAAGGAGAACTAAGAGAACTCACTGAGGAAAGGGGACTGGCTTTACGAGGTCATGGAAAAGCCCGCTGAAAAAAACTCTTGCAGTTACCTGAAGTATTCAAAACCTTGTGGACTTCCCATTCCCACTACAGTTCATATGTGCAATGTTCCAGCATAAACTAAAAAGAAAGCTGGAGCTTCGTAGTTAGTGACAGACTGTCTGCATTGTAAAAAACACCCAGTGTTTTTTTTTTAAACAAAAATATTTAGTTTAAAAAGTGAGATGTTATTTTCTAAGGATGCAGTTATATCAAACAGCAAGAATTTTTATCTACCTCGAAGAGTTCCATTAGAGTCAAGTCCTTAATCTCATAAAAGGCAATGCCGCTATTACAATCCAGGTTCTGATGCTCAGATTCTTTGTATAAGGGAGAAGTGGCTTCTTAGCTGCTTTTTTAGGCATGATAAAATTGTAACTGAAAAGAAATTCTGTTAAAGGCTCATTGCCCCATTTTCCTGGTTTTACTAGGGAGAGTTCCCTTCTTAAGCAGACACTTTTATTTGCCTTTTTTTGTATTCACTGGCAGTTCATATTCTTTATTTGTAAGCCTTGCAGTCCAGAATGGTCTAATGCTTATACATGTCAGTTGATCTACTGGCGTCTGTCACAGATCTAGATGATGGAAAGCTATTGATATCTTTGAACAGTTTAGAAGAAAACTCACAGATATCTAAGAAATATGGGTAACTAAAAACCAAAAGTGAAACCTTGAAATATGGTACTCTGGATATTATGTGCCTCAATCTCAGGCAGTTTAGAAATCCAGCTCCTTTTATTTCTGTTGCTTCTGCATTTACTATATGTGGAAAGGAAAAAACTGCAGGAAGGAAGCAACTTGTAAATATGAAGTCAGGAATGAGTTAGTGCCAAACACCCAGCTGTGCACAAAATTAAAAAAATAAAAAGTATGTGACAAACTTGTTCTGCAAGTGGTTTAATTCTGCAGCTTTTTGCAGAATGGGGCCCAGTTTCTCAGTTGCACTGGTATAAAACATCAGTCTCTGCATATGGTTGTCTTCTAAGCAGACTTAGAAACCTTTGAAGTTCTCTTACAGATTGCTTTTGGTCTGAATTGGAGCATATTAGTGCAAAGGTGTGTGTCTCCAGTAAGCAACTATATAACTAATTTTGAAGGAAAGCTTTTTTTTTTTTTTAAGTGACTCAATTTAAAAGTGCAAAAATTTCACTAGAGAAAAGTTTCTATGTTTTCCTTAGTTATCTGTTTTGACTCCTCCATTTTTAGAACCACTGTGTGAGGAGGGGGAGCTAGTGTTCTTCCTTATTAGCCACTGGTCTCAAAGTATTGGCTATAATGCTCTGAAACGTCTAAGTGCTGCGGGGGATAAAATGGGGCAAGTGTTGATGTATGCATTCTAAGTGACTAAAATAAACCTGGAGAGAGACTATAAAAAGCCTGTTTAGGGTTCCCAGCTCTCCTGAAAGCACAGCTGGTACTTTTGGAAGAGGGAGAGATGGAAGCAAATTTCTTTGACTGTTGCAATAGTGTGTGTGAGAGAGAGAATGAATTTGGAAAATTATAATTTTCTTAAAAGCAAGACTGACAAATTTGACTTTGGGACATGAGGTCTATAAATATTTACAAACAGACCATCTGCAAACCTTGTAAGCCACCAAGCCTTAGACTCCCAGTCCAGCCCTGTCCCTGCTATTCCTATTCCCAGACAAGATACGCTGCTAGTTTTATAAGCAGGAGGATACAGCCCAGTGCTTTTTGTACTGTTTTTCTGAGTTAGACTGTCAGCAGCTTGGGACATGCACCTGGGCACAGTATTTTCTTAAAAAAATATAGAATAGACACAGTAGCTGAGACTTCCAAACTCGGGTCATCATTGCAGAAATTAAATAGCAACACAGGGTAACAAAGGGACTCGGGCAGAGCCCGCTGCCTGAGCACCTGTGCCTCCCACAAATGCCACTTCAGATGACAGATATCTTGAAAATATTGTTCATTCTTTGTATTTGGTACATTTTCCTTTCTTCTCTTTGATTCCATTTATTGCTATGTAGATTACTTAAAAGTGGACTGTCCAACATATGTGCCCCCTTCCCCCTTGTGCAGACTGCACCAGCAGCACACACATCCTCCAGCATTCCCCAACCACACAGCAGCAAGAGAGGGAGCAATGGGCCACATTTTAATCACTCAGCCACCAGTTGGACAACCCTGTTTTAAAATAACAGTGGAGGAGCTTTATTGCCTTCAGTCTAGACCTTTACCCTGGTGTAGCACAGGGTTATCCCCCAAAATGGATTTTTGTAGTACTTTGTCCTGTTTCAGATGACTGGCTGTCCCCCAGTGGATGTAGCTTGCTGCCCATCCTGGTTCCCCTGTCTCGTCAGCCAGGTGGCCTGTGTTGTCTCTGTCCTTCAGAGCCAAGAGACTGTGAGAGTGACCAGGCTTCCTCTGCAGTGCAGCTGAAAACAGTTTTATCCATTCTCCATTAGCTGCCAACCTGTTTTTAGCACCAGTTTACATGAGGTTTTGGAGACAGATGCTCTCATCTAGTACTTGATTTTCCTGCTGTACAAAATCTCTACAAGATCTCATTAAAACAAGAGCAGCAGCAAACACTTTTTTTTTCTCTAGTTCAGCCTATGCTGTGTGTACTGAGGCTGATGGTCTGTGTTCTCCACAAGACAAACTTTGACTGTCCTTTGTCATCTCTCTTATGAACACACTCTCTGCTACCACTGTAACTGCACCTGCTACACTAGTGATCCAACTTTGTGCAAGGGCAGATTTGTCTCGGAGGGGACAGAGGCTAAGTCTGTGTAGTGTAGGGTAAAATCAAGAATAAGTGCTTACTGGAGCATAATTGGTGATTGCCCTGATGCCATTGTTGTCCCTTAGTTTAGAGGCAATTCT